CAATTTGTAACACAGACAAAAGAGTTAATTTCCCCAATATATAAAGAAGTACAACTCAGTAAAAAAAAAGGGAGGAGGACAGTTGTAAAGCCTTTTATGATGATATATTTTGACTTAACTGTGCTATAGATTTCATGTCTTTAATGAATATCCTCAGAGTCTACCAGGAGAACCCTAGATTGGAGAGGGGCTTGGGACACATAGAGCACTCAGCGTGATACAACCATGAGTGTGTGAACAGACCTGAACTTTTCATCGTCATTGTTTTCTACCATAAACTAGCTCCCTCTCAGAAATGTTCTGTTACTATCGGTGACAGCCTCATGTGCCCCCATTCACTATTTTTCCCATTTCCTCCTTTTCATCCAGAAAGTCACCACATCTCTTTGTTTTCTTTTTTTTTTTGAGTTGGAGTCTCACTCCGTCGCCCAGACTGGACTGCAGTGGCCGCTCCTGGTCACCACAGCCTCGACCTGCTGGGCTTTGGCGATCCTGCCACCCTCAGCCTTCTGAGTAGCCGGAATTACAGGCACGCGCTACCACACCCGGCTGATTTTTTGATTTATTGTAGAGATGAGGTCTCGCCAAGTTGCCCAGGCAGGCCTCAAACCTGCGGGCTCAGGCAATCCACTCACCTCAGCCTCCCAATGGCGCGGGATTACAGGCTGAGCCGCCGAGCCCAGCTCTTCGTTTTCATTCAGAGTATTTCCATCTGCCCTAGTCTGCCTAGGACCACTGCCTGTTTTAGTTAAGAGACACTCACCATCATCCTCATGGTTGAGTTCCTACCATGGTCTCCTTCCCTTTCTTTCTCTTCTTCTTCTTCCAGTTAGCACAATATGTCATACAGAGTAATCTCCCAAAAATATGACTTTCCTTCTGGGCCACCAAGCTATTCTAAAGCCTTCAGTGTTCCCCACCATGTAGGATAAAGTCTGATGTATGAACCTGGCCCCCAGAGCCCCCTGCCTGATTCTCCCTCCTTATGACTTTTTCGCTGCTCCTTTTCAGGAACCCTCTAAACATCTGAACTGTCTGCTTGTCCCAGCCCACCATCCCCATGTCTGCCTTCATACTGTCCTTCCTCCTCTCTACCATGTCCTGTACTTGCCATGAGGCCCAGCTCAGTGCTAGTCTCCTCCAGATGGCTTTCCTGGGTGCCCCAGTCCTCAGCATCCATTGCTTCCTTCCTTCCCACAGTGTTTATTGATTGCCTGTAACTTTCATCTCATGCTTAACCATTGCTGCCTGTATTGTTTTCACTGAAGTAGAACATACATACAGAGAAGTACACAGATCACAAAGTAAAGCACCGGGTGACTTCCCATAAGGTGAACCCACCTTATGTCATCAATATTCCTCGCTTGTTTTTTTTTTTTTTTGAGTTGGAGCCTCACCCTGTCACCTAGGCTTGAGTGCACTGGCACACTCACGAGTACCGCAGCCTCAACCTGCTGGGCTCAGGTTCTGCTTCATCCTTCCAAGTAGCTGGAACTACAGGCGCATACCACCATGTCTGGCTAACTTTTTGATTTATTATAGAGACAAGGTCTTGTCATGCTGCCCAGGCTGGTCTTGGACTCCTGGGCTCAGACAGTCCTCTCATCTCAACCTCCCAAAGTGCCGGGATTACAGGCATGAGCCCAGCAGCATTCCACTCTTCTGATACACACTCTGACTACCTAAGAAGATGATAAGCACCTGGGAGACAGAACCACATCATGTGCCTCTTTGCACAAAAACCATAACATTGGGTATTCAGCAATATTCTAGATCAGAAACTACAACTAGGAAAGAGATCTAGGCTTTACAAATAAGGAACATGTGGAAATGTCCCCTATACCCCTTGGTTGGAGGTAATGTAGGGGATTCCTCGGTGATAACTAATAAGTTTAAATCCAGTCTAGGAGGGAGGGGGGCACCCATTGGGCACCATGCTCGCCACTTGTGTGACAGGCTCGATAGAAACCCAAACCTCACCATCACACAGTGCCCCCATGTAACAAACCTGCACATGTACCCTTTATCCTCTATTTATTTTAGTCAGTGCTCCCAGTAAATGTTGTTGGCTAGGTAGAGGCATATGTTATATCAGATTTCATCCTGACTAACAAAACTAGGATCCTGCTGGATCCTATGTGGTCAGTGGCAGGAGTCAGACACAGCTTTGTCAGACCCGGTGAGTCAGGGTGGCCCCAGGATGTTGCTTACAAGTTCTTGGTCATATCTGCTCAGTAGATACATTTTGAATACATTCTAAAGTAAAATAAAATTTAAAAAATCTAGTCAGACAAGCCTATGACATCATTTTCTCTTTTCAGACATGGAAATATATACAGACATCTACAGCATTCGTTTTTGTCATTTTGTCCAATAAATATTTATTGATCATATGCAGTCTACTAGCTACTGTTACAGTGTATTGTGGGATTCAGCTCTTCTCTCTAAAGAGCTTAAGTTTTAGTGAGTCATTAGAAATAATTGATAGAATGAAAAGAAGGGCTTAAGACTAAAGATATAGCAATGACTAAACAGTAAGATAAATGTGAAAAATTGTTCCTAAATTATCTGCCACTAAATTATCATAAACATGCAGAGAGAACAAGAACAGAGATAAGGAAGGCTAAAATGAAGATTTTCACTGGTACTAGGGACTTCTGGATAAAAAATTCATCCGATGTGACATAACAAAAGGTGTGAAAGAAGATGGCAACTTATGAAGGGAAAATAAATACAAGGTTAACAAGAGAAGAGAGATGTTAAAAGTCATAAGAAATACCTAATTTTAGCAGCACTTTACAGTTTACAAGATACTTTTACTTGTTCTTCTTATTGGGTCTTTGCCTCTTAGGATATTCTGCCCCTTATGGGATTGGTACAGTAGGTGGCATCATATATCCAGTGTCACGCAGCTCGCCTGTCCGGGTATAAGTGTAGAATCAGACTTCAGCACTCTTTCCTCAACCTGTTCTTGCCTTAGTGGAGTGTAAGAATTTGTTTAGGCATCTCTTGATTTTTCTGTTACTGCATTGCAGTCACATCCCAGCTAACTTCCTTATCACTATTCTTACTATTTCCTTTATACCTAAAGCAAGAGAACCTCCCTAGCAATTCATGCTGTCTGGATGTCATCAACATGAGGCAAAGTGTAGTCACGGGTAGGTCACCTCTGGCTCCTCTCTGTGGCATCCCCATTACTTGGGAACATGGGCCCAAAGAGGGTGGAGGACCCAGAGGCTGCTGATCCTGAAAACGTAACTTATTGAAAGCGTTCCGAGTCTCCTGGTTTGGTTTTGTCTTGTCTGGTATTGCCTCTTTGGTTATGGCTTTTCTGTGCCTAGAAGGCTTCAGTTTTCAGAGCTATAAATCTGCCAGTCTCAGTGACGTGTCTTTCACTTCAAATTAATGTTCAGCAGAGGGATTACCAGATGACTGTTTCGGGCTGAATTTTTTTGCACAAAGGGTTATGGTTTGAAGAGGCAGCCAGAGCCAGGAAGAGAAGTTAATCATGTAAATCAATACAGGTGAGAACTGATCACCTTTCTGAAAGACAACGCAGCACACAACCTCTAAATAGATCTTTGGGGTCAAGTTGATGTCACGTTGAAGAATCAATATTTACTGGGCTTTATAAAGTTGGCCTTTAATGAACCCTCAGGCATTTTGCTAGGCCATTAATTGCAGAGAGGGGAAAGGCCATAGTGACTGAAGCCCATGTGTGTGGAGGTTGTATAAAAATAAGTGAAGAGACAGTCCTACCTTTAGCTTCCACTCAAGTGTTGTTGGGTACACATGTTGAAAGGCTTTCTTGTGGTCCTATTGACATTTTAAGAAAGAACAATTCTTGCATCCTAACAGAAAAAGGTACACCCTGTACTCTTTGACACTCCCTATCCAGGCAGTGTGGCCGCATTTTCCTGGGATGAATTTTGATGTCATTTTGGATTCTGCCTTGTAAATATGCTAATCACAAAGTCGGGTCCCTCTTAGAGAATGGCTCATCCCTTCCTCTGGTACACTCAAAAGCTTTTATAAAGTGGGGTATCGCAGCAAAAAATATTTACTTTAGGCTGCTGGCTTGAATCCAAGTCCAACGAAAGGTTTTTTGATATATATTAGCACTTGCACTTGTTCTGTCATCCAGTAGAAGTGTTCCTCTGGTGTTTTGTGTGGCGAAGCGTTCTGTGTCCCTCACTGGGTTGCTGAATCATTTGTGAGTCAGGAGCTTTATCTTCTATTTATTTTAGTCAGTGCTCCTAATAAATGTTGTTGACTAGGTAGAGGCATGTGTTATATCAAATTTCACCCTGACAGTAACAAAACTAGGATCCCGCTGGATCCTACGTGGTCAGTGGCAGGAGTCAGGAGCAGCTTTGTCAGGCCCTGGGAGTCAGGGTGGCCCCAGGATGTTGATTACAAGTTCTTGGTCATATCTGCTCAGTAGATACATTTTGGATTCAACTTTTCAAACCTCTTTCTCCAGTTTATCTTGTTAGGGGAGACTCTAGAATTAATCAGAGAGAAGAGCTAGCCGTTCTTTTCTCACTCTCACTCCTACCCCTCTCCAGGATCATTATTCAGAACAAAGACAGAAAAGGAAAAGTATGAGGCCGGGCATGGTGGCTCATGCCTATAATCCTAGCACTTTGGGAGGCTGAGGTGAGAAGACTGCTTGAGCCCACGGGTTTGAGACTAGTCTGGGCAACTTGGCAAGACCTCCTCTCTACAATAAATCAAAAAATTAGCTGGGCGTGGTGGCACATACCTATAGTTCCAGCTACTTGGGAGGCTGAGGTGGAAGAATCTCCTGAGCCCAACAGACCAAGGCTACAGTGGCTGTGACTATGCCACTGCACTCCAGTGAGACTCCAACTCAAAAAAAATCATGAGGGGTTTGGTGGGACTGTAGTGTGGCGTTTGTACCAGAGAATCTGGTGTTTAATATTTTCATCTATAATTTTCTTTAAGTATTCATTCTGGGTTTTATTCTTCCTTTTCAGTTGTTTGAGAATTTCTACTTTGGTTCCCTGAAGCTGAATTCAATTCACATCTCTCAGAGGTTCACAGTAGACAGCTTTGGAAACTATGCGTCCTGTGGACAAATCGACTTCTCCTGAGGTGGACCTTGGAAAGCACTAGAAATGGGACATCCTCACAAAGTGCTGGAGAAAAGTGTCTTCGTTTGAATCACCAATGAGGGGTGTGGAAATCTGGATGCTGACTGTCCTGGGTGGTTCTCCATGTACTCACCATCACCTCTGATGTGTCTAGTCATCAGACTGTCGGTCAGGATGGTTGTGGGCACTTGTGCCCATAACCCTTGGTGTGTTCTTTTTCATTTTTCCTTTCAATTTTTTAATTGTGGTAAAATACTCATAAAATGTACTGTCTTAACCATTTTTAAGGGTACAGTGCAGTGTTATTAATTACATTCACAGTGCTATACGACCATCACCCACCAGCGTTCATCTCCATAGCTTTTTCATCTTGTCAAATTAAACAATAATTCCCATTAAGCAATACACCATTCTGCTTTCTGTCTCTATGATTTTTTTTTTTTTTTTTTGAGTTGGAGTCTCACTCTGTTGCCCAGACTGGAGTGCAGTGGCCGCTCCTGGCCACCACAGCCTCGACCTCTGCTGGGCTCCGGCGATCCTTCTGCCTCAGTCTTCCAAGTAGCTGGAACTACAGGTGCGCGCTACCACGCCCGGTTACTTTTTGATTTATTGTAGAGATGAGGTCTCGCCAAGTTACCCAGGCGGGTCTCGATCCCGCGGGCTCGGGCAATCCACTCACCTCAGCCTCCCAAAGGCGCGGGATTATAGGCTGAGCCACCGAGCCCAGCTTGTCTCTATGATTTTGACTACTTTGAGTATCTCATACAAGTGGAGTCATACGGTTGTCTTTTTTGTGACTGGTTTATTTCACTTGTCATAATGAAGGTTCATCCATGTCATATCATGTGGCAAGATTTCCTTCCAATTTATACTTATAATGAAATATCCCATTCCATCATAATGTCTATACCACATTTTGTTTGTCCATCTCTGAACACTTGGGTTGTTTCCACCTCTTAGCTGTTGGGAATACTGCTGATACAAACATGGGTATGCAAATCTCTCCTTGAAACCCTGTTTTTAATTTCTTTTCTACCCAGAATTATATCTTTAGCAAAATAACTATTAAAGTGTTTACATTTTACTTTGCTCGATGTATCCTTTTTTCTTCTGAAGTTAGTCCTTTTAAACAATATTTGCTGGATTCCTGTTCCCTTACCCCATACCCACCCTTGCCTTCCCATGCCCTTGATGGAGTTGCAGTATTATAGCACTTTTCTGTTTACTTTAAAGCAGCAGCAGCAGCAGCAGCAATAGAAACAGTGATGACATCAGCAGGACTGTGTAGAGTTCCCTGGAAGAATGTTGGCCACAGAAGGCACTCACTCCCTTACCCTAGAGCAGCCAAGGAGGGAGTGCTCCCAGCCACAGCTTTGCCTCAGCTGTATGTCCTTCCAGGTGCTCTGCTGGGGGCTCTAGCCCCTCATCTCTCCCTCCTCACATCTTCCGCCCTCCATGTCCCCCCTGCTTTTTCTTCTCTTTCTTGTATTCCTTATTCCTTTTTTCTTTGAGTTGGGTCTCACTCTGTCACTCAGGCTGGAATGCAGTAGCACAATCATGGCTCACTACAGCCTCCACCTCCTGGACTCAGGCTCCTGAGTAGCTGGGATTACAGGTGCATGCCACCATGCCTGGCTGATTTTTTTATTTTTTGTAAGAGATAAGGTCTCGCTATGTTGTCCAGTCTGATCTCAAACTCCTGGTTCAAGCATCCTCCCACCTTGGCTTCCCAAAGTACTGGGACATTCCTCTCTTATCTTGATTCTTACTTTCTATTCTTTAAATCTGCTTCTGAACCCTGTGTTTTAAGGTGGCTACATTGTGACGACTATGTCTAACACTCAGATTTGTTTATTGGTGGGACTGCACAGATCATTTGTGAATAAATGAATTTCCAAAGTAACTATTTTTCTGTTAGTATTATCATATACTTCTAATCTGACTTCCTTAGTCAGTTTTGGATACACAATGTTGCCATCACTTATTCACGGGCATAGCTCTCATTCATCCAGGACTTGAGGAGTTGCATCAGTGCCTATGGGGTCAGTTGTTCCCAAAAGCCTCCGCTTTCTATTGGTGATACTCATTTTCTATACAAATTGAGAGTTGACCTCACCTCAGGTTGTTAGATGGCACATGGTCATGAGCACTCCAGGGATAGTACTGACTTGTGAAGCTGACTGTAGAATTTAATGACCCTATGTCGTCTTGGTGCTGACTCTCTCTTATTGGTTTTTTCTGACAAGCCGTTGGACAACCTTGGTCAGGAAGTAAAGAAGTCTTCATTTAGGTGTCAGAGATTTGACTTACGTTTGTAGGAAATTTTTAAAAAAGTTTTTGTCTTTGGAAAATGTAACTTTATTAGCTGGGCGTGGTAGTGTGCGCCTGTAGTTCCAGCTACTTGGAAGGCTGAGGTGGAAGGATCACCTGCGCCCAGCGGGTTGACGCTGGGGTGGCCATGAGTGTGCCACTGCATTCCAGCCTGGGTGACAGAGTGAGAATCCAACTCAAAAAAGAAAAGAAAAGAAAATGTAACTTTATATGTCAAATGCTTATTCTTAATAGAATTGGGAATTCTGTTATTTAGAATTTAGTGGTCACTATTTCCTATGCATTTAAGCATATATTTTAAAGTAATTTTTCTCAAGTTATTAGCCTTTTTCACTCTGCATTTAAACATATCAAATGAGAAGTTAAGTAATGTTTCACAAATAATAACAGCTACTATTAGCTGAGTGCTCATAGTTGTCATTTATTGGTGTACTAACTCCATCTTTACAACAGCCCACTTAAGTTGACATTATTATTATCCTCATATTACACACTGGGTTTTAACAAGGTTAAGAAGTATGCCTTAGGTCATATAGCTTGTACCAGCGGTTCTCAAAGTGTGTGGTCTTTGGACTCCTAGGAGTCCCTGAGAACCTTGGGGGTGGGGGTGTGTAGTCTGTGAGGTCCAGAGTATTTTCATACAAATATTAAGGTGCAGCCCGGGTGTGGTGGCTCACACCTATAATCCCAAAACTTTGGGAGGCCGAGGTAAGAGGACTGCCTGAGCTCAGGGGTTCAAGACCAGCCTGGGCAACTTGGTGAGACCTCATCTCTACAATACGTCAAAAAATTAGCTGGGCGTGGTGGCGCATACCTGTAGTTCCAGTTACTTGGAAGGCTGAGACAGAAGGATCGCCTGAGCCCAGCAGGTCAAGGCTGTGGTGGCCATGAGGGTGCCACTGCACTCCAGCCTGGGCGACAGAGTGAGACTTCAACTAAAAAAAAAAAAATACTAAGGTGTCACTTGCCTGTTCTACTCTTATTCTCTCACAAGTGTTCAGTGGAGTTTCCCAGAGGCTTCATGACATGGTGACATCACTCTGATGGTTAATAGAATGTGTGCCTGTGTATTTTTGTTTTCTAGAATGTTGTTAAGTTGGTAGATTTAAGTAGGTGGATATAAATATGTGTGTTTTCAGAGATTAAGTCAGTTTGTTCTCAGTACTTTTTTCATGCTCTTACTAGCTATTTTCATTATTTGGAGATAGGGCCTTTAAAGAGGTGCTTAGGTTAAAATGAAGCTGGTAGAGTGGGCCTTACTCCAATCTGTCTGGTGTCCTTATAAGAGGAGGAAATTTGACCATCTAAAGAGACACACTAGGATGTGCCCAGAAGAAAGACCATGTGAAGATACAGCACAAAGGTAAGCCAAGGAGAGAGGCCTCAGGGAAAACCAAACCTACGAATACTTGAATCTTGAACTTCCAGCCTTCAGAACTGTGAAAAAATACATTTTTGTTGGTGAAACCACCCAGTTTATGGCACTTTGTTATAACAGGCCTAGTAGATTCATACACTTGCTATCATTCTGAAGTCAGACATTAAAGAGATTTGTAAAAGTGTAAAATAGCACCACCCCCTTATTTTGGGGGGGGAATACAGTTGTTTTTCATTTAAAAAAAATATATATATATATATATTTGAGTTGAAGTCTCACTTTGTCACCCAGGCTGGAGTGCAGTAGCATGGTCATGGCCACCCCAGTGTTGACTTGCTGGGCTCCAGAGTTCCTTCCACCTCAGCTTTCCAAGTAGCCAGAACTACAGGTGTGCACTACCATGCCCGGCTAATTTTTTTTTTTTTTTAATTGTAGAGACAAGTTCTCACCGAGTTGCCTGGGCTGGTCTCAAACCGGTGGGCTCAGGCGGTCCACTCGCCTTGTCCTTCCAAAGTGCTGGGATTATAGGCTGAGCCACTAAGCCCGGCCAAAACATATTATTTTAAAATATGAAATGGGTATATTATTATTTTAAAATAAAGTTTAAAATATTTTTAGTTTTATTTTCAAGTACAGTAAATATCCATATGTATGTAACTGACATAAACAAAAGTTCTTTGGCATCCTCAAAAGCTTTTTAGTGTAAACGGCTCCTGACACCAGCAAGTTTGAGAACTGCTACACTATCCTTCTTTCCAAGTGGGATCATAATTATCCACAGTACATCATGGCTCGCATTGCTTTCCAGTAGATACGGATCTACATCATTATTTTTAACATCTGTACAATAGTCCATTGGAGGTACATTATATAACTTAGCTAGTTGGTTTCTGACTAATGGACCTTGAGTTGATTTCCAGATTGAGCTATTATGAACAATTCTTGATTGAACATCTTTGTGCACGTATCTTTTTGTGCTTGTGGGATTATCTAGAAATGGGATTAAATAGTTTTCAAGAGGTAGTTAAATTTAGGTTTCTTATTGGAAAGCTAAGGTTTCTCCATTTTATATTGCTAAATATAAAATGTAAACTGAAAAACATATAAAATATATGTACTATTAAACATATATACCTGGCAGCTCCTTACGTTTGGGGTCATTGGTCTGAAAAGACCAATTATCTGCCGGTAATGTTCTCAAAAACTAGGAAAACCTTCTCTTCTTTTTTTGAGTCAGAGTCTCACTCTGTCACCCAGGCTGGAGTGCAGTGGCATGCTCACAGCCACCATAGCCTCGACCTGCTGGGCTCAGGTGATCCTTCTGCCTCAGCCTTCCAAGTAGCTGGAACTACAGGCATGTGCCAGCACGCCCAGCTAATTTTTTGATTTATTGTAGAGATGAGGTCTCACCAAGTTGCTCAGGCTGGTCTTGAACCCCTGAGCTCAGGCAATCCTCTCGCCTGGGCCTCCTAAAGTGCTAGGATTACAGACTTGAGCCACCACTCCTGGCCTCTTCTTAATAAACTAGAAGTACTGACCGTTTTTGTAATTCTTATTCAAGTCATCTGGAGATGTGAGTTCTTCCCCCTAAATGGTATTGCCTAACAGTCCTGGACTGTTACTGATCTGCTTTCAGCATAGGGCTAATTTTGGCCCGGTTTGAAGGTTCCACAGAAGGCATGTCCCATTGGGGTAGCTGCCCAGGAGTGTGGGAGCCCTTTTAACCTTCAAAGGTGTAGAGACAGCTATTGTCTTATTGATGCACATCTTGACAGCACATTTCCAAACTCTTTATTCAGCAATCTCGGTAATACTAGAAGACCAGGGACTTCCTCAGATATACCAGAATGGCAGAGCTATGGTATAGGTGCCTTGGAGATATATTGGTAGCTTTGCCAAAAAGCTAGGATTGAGATGGTGGAAAAGATGGCAACTTTTGGTAAATCTTCAGAACTATGGGATATCATAGTTTTCTTCCTGGCGTGAAGGAAGATGAATTAACATGTCTTAAATGCCCACTATGCTCAGGCACTTAGTATGTCATTTTGCATGAGTTTCATGGCAATCTTCTGAGGTAGGTGGTATTACCATTCATTTTAGATAGAAAATAGGTAACACGCCCAAAAATCTAGTTAGGGGGTAGGATTCCACCCCTCAGTCTATACAGCAGCAAATGCTATTCTTCCACGACACAGCACCGCGATACCACCTGGGAATGCCGCTTTATTTACTGTGAGATGAGGACATCAGTGGCCAGGGCCTCAATGCAGCACCAACACTAAATCCAACTGCAAAGGAAACAAGAAAACACGGAAAGGGAGCTATTGTTGTCTGTTTTCCCAGAGGGACTCCAGCCCTAGCCACCGAGGCATGCAAAGTTCCCAGGCAGGCCAGACTCAGGGTGATAAAGAACCTTGTGTTTTTTCCTACTGATTAAGATGTTTTTCATTGCCTTTGACTTTTCTTTGAGACCACAGCAGCCAAGTCTTTGTATAAAATAAAATAAAATAAAATAAAATAAAATAAAATAAAATAAAATAACACAACACAATCCAGGGCTTGGGTCCGAAAAGTTCAATATGGTTTGCCCTGTCAGATTATCTGTTTCCTCTTCAATGTGTTTGCAATGTAAACCTCACCCCATTTCTGCTGTGATCTTGGGACTGTGGCCAGCCTCCAGCCTTCCCAGCTGATAAATATCAGCACGTTTAAATCTACAGGCAATGACGAGGGTCACGACTTTAACAAAAACCTAAACACCTCAAAACAAAACAAAACAAAACAAAAAAAACCAGCGACCCCACCCCCAGTCTTCCCCAGGGGCTTATTAAAATCAACTTGAGTCAAAACCGTGAACAAACGTGTCTTTTCCAAATTGGCAGCCCCAAGGCAGATGCGACGGTCAGACATTTGCCTTTCAGGGTTGTCTTAAGAAGAGCTCACAAAAGGGGTGACGGCCCCCAAACAGCTGCCTGGGAAGGAAGGCATCCGCCTCTGTCTCACCATCCATTCCTGCCCAGGCCTTGCCCCGAGAACAGCGTGCGCCGCCGCCGGGAGCCGCGGTTCTGAGGCAGCCAGTTGTGACATGGCTTTTGTCTTAACGAAGCCACCCATTACTCGCAGGGCTCCAGCTGTCAGGGCCGTGGCGCTGGCCCTCTGGGTGGGAGGCAAGGGGAGCAAAGGAGCGTCCGGCCAAGCCCCCTTTTAGACACCTGAGCCCTGCTGGCTTTGTAACAGGAGGGTCTGCGTCTTCTCCCCAGCCCCTTGGTCCCTGGGGAGACCCCGGGCCCCTTCCCGCTCTCCACCCTTGGAGAGAGCCCGGGGGGCATCTCGGGATTCGCACTCCTCGGTCTGCGGCTCCCGGTGCGGGGCTGGGCTCGGCTGCGGCTGGCGTCGGGCGCTCGCAGCCAGCGCTCCGCTTTGAAATCTACCCCCTCCCTTTTTTTTTTTTTGAAACCAGGTATGATGATGTCAAACGTGATGCTGATGCTACAGTTACAGACACGGCCCCTGCTGGCGCAGCCTCTCTGACTCCCTCTCCCTCTCCGCGGCCGGCGCTGGGCTCTCTCAGACAAGTGCATCTCCGAACCAGGTCACATTTCAGCCGCGACCCACTCTCCGCCAGTCGCCGGAGTCACGCCGCAGGCGGAGGGCTGGGGAGGACGAGCGGCCGCGCCGCGGGAGGCCGGGCGCTAAGATACCGCCGAAGTCAAGACCCCCGCGGCGAACCCAGACCGCGATGCGCGCCCCGGGCTGCGGGCGGCTGGTGCTGCCGCTGCTGCTCCTGGCCGCGGCCGCCCTGGCCGAAGGCGATGCCAAGGGTCCCAAGGAGGGCGAGACCCCCGGCAATTTCATGGAGGACGAGCAATGGCTGTCGTCCATCTCGCAGTACAGCGGCAAGATCAAGCACTGGAACCGCTTCCGAGACGTGAGTCCGCAGAGCGAGGGCAGCGCCGGGCGGCGGTCTGGGGG